AAAGATGTTGCTAATGCAAATTAAAACTACAGTGAAATACTCCTACATACCCTTTGGAATGGCTAACATTTAAAAAGACTGACAATATCAAGCGCTAGTAATGATGAGGAGAAACAGGAACTCTCATACGTTGCTGGTGGGACTGTAAAAAACAACCACTTTGGAAATCAGATTGACAGTTTCTTAAAAAGTTAACCAGGGTCAGCCCCAATGGCCTAGTGGTTAAAGTTCAGTGCTTTCTGCTTTGGTGGCCCAGGTTCGGTTCTTGGGCGTGGAACCATATCACTTGTCTGTTAGTGGCCATGCTGTGGTGGTGGCTCACATAAAAAAGAGGAAGATTTTTATTTTTTATAAAAAAGAGGCAACAGACATTAGCTCAGGGCAAATCTTCCTCAGCATAAAAAAACACAAAAAAGTTAACCATACATTTAGCTCTTAGTGTTGACATAATATAGTAACTGAAATCAACTTTCTAAGACAACGATTGGCAAACTGTGATGCACAAGCCAAATCTGGCCCACAGCCTGTTTTAGTATGGCCCACGAACTAGGAATGGCTGTTACATATTTGAGGGTTTTTTTTGAGGAAGATTAGCCCTGAGCTAACTGCTGCCAATCCTCCTCTTTTTGCTGAGGAAGACTGCTCCTGAGCTAACATCTGTGCCCATCTTCCTCTACTTTATATATGGGATGCCTGCCACAGCATGGCTGGCCAAGCAGTGCCACGTCTGTACCCAGGATCCGAACTGGTGAACCCTGGGCCGCCGAAGTGGAATGTGCGTACTTAACCACTGCACCACGGGGCCAGCCCCTACACTTTTAATGTTATTTAAAAAAAAACAAAGAAGAATATGCATCAGAGACTATCTATGACCTGAAAAGCCTCAAACATTTACTATCTGGCCCTTTATAGAAAAAGTTTGCCAATCTTGTTAAAGTTCATGGTTTTCGAATTTTTTGGATCATAATCCACAGAAATGCATTATACATCCATCCCAATACCTCCATCCGTCCATCCATTTACTACTGAAAGAAAAACTTCACAAAATAACCCTTACTAACACTTAAGTTGCACCTTGCCTTTCTCATTTCTTTCCTTTTCCTATCCTATCCCATTCTTTAAAAAAATTCTGATCATAACCCAATAAATCATTTTAATAAATAATTACTAAAGAGTCTCAACCCACCATTTGAAAAACACTCATAACATTAAAATCAACTTGAATGTGTCCTCTCACTTAGAACAGTCTTAGCTTGGGAGCCTGTCAATAATGCAACGTTGATTTTGTTTTTTATTTTACAGCCTTTGTCTCCAGCCCAGTTTCTTACCTGGTTCTCTTCCTTTTATAAACTCCCCCTTTCAAAATCTTTGTTTACTGTTTTTCTTCTTTATTCTGCAGTTTTATTAATCCTGTCTATCTCTGACGGGTTTAAGGCACAGACTCAGTACAGAGGCTGGGACAGACCCCACCCACACCCACCCCCGACAGGCCAGGCAGAGAACCAGTCTGGGCCAAGACTCAGCACACTTGCTCCACATCCCTGCCGGCCAGAGGTCATCAGAATCACCACCGTCAGGGAGAGGCTGAGCTAAACCACACTCTGGACCCTTCCTAAGTTACAGCAATTTAGCAACGGAGCTGGAAGGCACATCTTGGTGTCCTCGTTTTAGGACTTACTCCCAAGAACATCGGATAGTTAGCTCGTAGGTGACGAGAAACAGCACCAAGCACAGAAAAGATATAAAACAAGCGTTCTGCTGGTTGATCCACATAAACAAATGAAGAATGCTGACTCCTCTTGATGTAGAAACACTCCTTTGGATACCTTCAACTTCTAGCTAGGATTTACTCTTTATCTTAGTTTTCAGATAATCTGGGCTGTTTTAACAAATCATTACGTCTTCTAACTTGACCTTAGAATTTACCTCTTCAGAAAATTTCTCCTGACTATACCTACCCAAATCTGATTACTACTTTATCCAGCACCTTAAGAAAATTCAATCTGCACTTAAAAGAACCTCAGAGTACAAAGGAACTCCAGACACCATGCAGCGCAGCCGGCTCCTCTGAGAGGACCCGTGACATGTGGGTGCTGGGGCAGACACGCCTGGAGCCAAGGCAGCACCAGCACACGCCCACTGTGTGACCACGGCAGTTTCCTAACCTGCCTCGTTGAGTCTCAGTTATCTCATCTGCAACACAGTCCCTGGCATCTAGTAAGAATTCAACAAATCGTAGCTCTTACTGTTAATGTTACTTCGATGATGCCTTAGAAACTACCCCTTAGAAAGGTTAACATGACTTGCCCCAAGTTAGTAATAGTCAGGCTCTTAAGGTGGTCAGAGAAGAGACTCTCACAGTTTCTCTCCTGGATCACAACCATAACTAGCTAAATGGTCTCTATAACTACTGTTCAATTCATTTTCTACACTATTACCCAAACGGTCCCTTTTAGAAAACAAACTTGATTAAAATTCCCATGCTTAAAATTTTTCAGTGGTTCCCAGTGTTCACAGGATTAAGTGCAAACCCCTTAGCAGCTTACCCAGTGCCCTGCACAATTTGGGCCTAACCCATCTTTTGAGTGTCATCTCCACCCACCAACCCAAAGGATGCTATGGTTAAGCTGTACAAACCTCGACCATCCTCCAAAATTGCTGCGTTCTCTTGCACTTCTATGCCTTGGTCCTGGCTATCCCTCTGCCTGAAACACTCACCTGTCTGTATCTGGTCAACTCCACCACCCATGGCCTAAGCCAGCGTCTCTTCAGTGAAGCATCCACAGCTTCTGCAGGCTCAGTCACTGCCCCTTCCTCTGTGCGCCCTCCATGCCTTCTGCTATCTTGATCCTCATCACTGAGTTTTCCCCAATCCATTGTTTTACATACGATTTCTCAACTCTGTATCATTCCAGGGTAGGGGCTGCGTCTCATTCATCTTTATACACATGGCCTAGTTCAGTATGTGTCCAGAGTGAGTGCTCACTAAATAGCTCTGGAATAAATTACAAATGAACTGAATAAATTACAAGTAAATTAATGAACAAATAGAGCCAAGCATTTCTAGGTCCCAAGTTGTTTCTCATTTCACTCTGCCTGCCTTTGCTTGCATACTAATTGCTTTAGAAACATATTAATACAGTTTTCACTTAAGTATATGATGTCTCTTGAATTAGATGAGAAGCTTCTAAAGGGCATGTTCATCCTCTAACTATGCTTTTCACTCTCTCACTTCCAACATATCAGGGTTTGGTTAAATTTCTGAATGCTCCCTTTTGCAATATACTTGCATGACAAGATTTGTCTTCACTTGTCATGAGGGAAGATACCGAGAAGGTTTTATTTCAGAGTGTTGTAATAAGATGTTATCTTAGTGCAGTCACGAAAAAGAAATAATCTCCTGATTCAGTTTCTTGTTGACAGGAGAAGAGAAAACATTCAGGGTTCCATCTCTTTAGATGTTTAAGTGACAGTCTGTACTTTACTGTTCAGAACCTTCAAAAGAGATATTATTTTCTTGCATAAAACACGAAAAGATGGGCTCAATGGAAAAACTATTTTCAGCCTCTTTCATGTCTTTGTCCAATTTTCAGAAATATTTTTAAAGGAATATAGTACTACTGTGAGCTTGAATTTACTATCCTAAGTGTTTAAAAGTATTCAACCTAAGAAATAGCTCCTAAGTATGAAACTTTCTCTAATTCCTGGTTAACTGACTGAAGAGACAAAATTTGGCAAGAATATAAAGGCCAAGCATAAGCTCCTCCACAAACATGAGAATAAAAAGGTTCTCAGACATGCTGACCGTCACACACTTTATCTATTGACTAGATCAATGATTCTCAACCAAGAGCAACTTTGCCCCCTCAGGGCACATTTAGTAGTGTCTGAAGACATTTTGGTTATCACAACTGGGAACTTGCTATTGGCATCGAGGGGGCAAAAGCCAGGGATGCTGATTGTGCTAAACATCCCACAATGTACAGAACAACACCCCCCACCTGCCCCCTGCCCCATAACAAAGAATTATCTGGCCCAAAATGTCAGTAGTGCCCAGGTTGGGAAAGCGTGCCCTAGATTTATAGATTCCCACATCACTGAGGCAAAATAGTAGAAGAAGATGAGCTCACATTCCTAATTACTCTCTCCTCCCTGCAAAATCTAGAATTAGGAGGAAATAAATTATGATGATATTTTCACAGTTCATACATAAGGTAGCATTTGGAAGGAAAGAGGATAGGAAAAAATAAGGGGCATTTCAAGCAACTAAGTTCTTAGAAGGAAAATACATTTTAGACATTTTCATTTCCACTGTAGACAACGTTGGCTTCTGCAATGGGTTTCAACCGTCCAGGCAGATGGGTAATTGGAACTAAAGTCAGACTATAAAGTCTATACCGACTCCAGGAGGAAATTTCCCAAGAGCTAAATGAGTTTTAGATATGAGAATTCCAGTGGCTTTAACAAGCATTATAACTCTCATGGACGTTTTTAAAGGGGATCAGAAAGTTGAAACCTGATAGCTCTCCATAAAAGCTGACCAGGCCTGGGCATTACCAAGGACATTTTAATAGCAATAGGCAAATGGAATTATTTCAACTTCAAAGAGACAACTCAGAAGAAGTATATTCACCATACCTGGTGACAGACGTAACAAAAAGAGGAAAGACGCCCAAGAAAGATTATGTTCCCTTACCTCTACAACTACATTTGCTTTGCAACGTAATCTTTATTAAAATGAATACTTAGGTATCTGCTTCCAAATGGAAAGACAAAAACAAAATGGTTCAAGCTAAACATGTTAAGAATATATTTGGATGCCAAGTTTTTTGAAAAGACGTTTCACTGGAGGCTATTACAATTAATTGGTTGAGACTTTGGCCAAGCTCTCTGTGGGTACTGCCGGTTTTCACAATGTACGGTTCTGGAACAGCACGACGATGTTGTATATTTCTAAACATAGAAACCTCCAGACAAAGTCCCCGTGGAAAAATACTAACCACCAATCTGTGATAAAAATCTCTTCTTTGGCCTCTTCCATTGCATTGGCCACATCTTCAAAATATCCTTTGGCATTAACATACCTGAAAGACAAGTTTTTCATTTCGTTTTTTTTTTTTTCACAACAACAAAAATAAGTAAAATAAATATATCCTTTTGTAGAGCAAAACACGGAAGCCACTGCCTAGAGCCTCCTCATAATCACCAGTTTGCTTTGTGTAACTACAAAACAAGAATTGAAAATCCCACCTTCCATTTGCTATGTAGGGAGGACTGTCAGTAAAAGAAATAAGAAACTAGATGCTTCTCTGCTTAGAGAACAATAAATTAATTGGTCTCAGCATCATACGGGGTCAGACGAATTCTCCTACCCTGCTGAACTCACACATGGTTGCTCTTCTGAGACTAAAACCAGACCAGTTTCCAATTCATGGAAAACAGGCTAAGCATGATTTTATTTACAAGAAATATCTAGCAAGTAAATTCTCTTTCCTCAATTGTGGCTAATGACTTAAATAAACCTTCCATTTGCATCAGTAAGAAAATGTGTAGCCACAACTAGAAGGACCCACAACTAAAAATATACAACTATGTGCCGGGGGGCTTTGGGAGAAAAAAGGAAAAAATAATAATAATTTAAAAAATGTGTAAAGTTGACTTTTAAAATCAAACTTCAAAATCTAAAGCTAGCTACCCAAAGCTTGATGTAAAAAAAATCTTAAAAACAAAAATTGGAAAACTAACCTATGCTCAGATAGTCCTACAAAGAGAGGCTCTTTTCAAAGATAATGCATAATATCTCTTTACAGCTTTGAACATTGATTCCAGGTGAATTTAGACCACAATAATATGAAAAGCCACAACTGCTTTGACAGTCTCAAAGCAAACAGATCTTACCATTTCGCTAAAGTGTTCTCTTGGATAGCAGCGTATGACCCAAATCGATGCTCTCTGAGAAAGTTGGTGGCGTGTTTCTGGATGAATTCTTCTATAGCGCCTGCCCACCACCGAGCATGTCTATAGCTATTGCATTTTAAAATAAGTGTCCTTCAAAGAAAAGCCAAATGTGGGAAAGAATGGTCACTCTGTGTTCAGTTTCCTCAAACAACTTTAGAGATTAAACATGCCTTGCTTTGTTTCGATACTCTAGCAAACAAGAGTTGAAAAATTTAGGCAAAGAGTATCTTACTGATATCAAAAAGAAGACTTCTAAAAATTTTTGGCAAGATTTAAAAATATATTTAATGCAGCAAAAATAAATTTTCGGGTTATTTATTCACTCATTCACTCATGCAAACATGTGTGAAGGTACTTACCGTAGGCCTAGAGCTGTGCTAGGCTGTGAGGAGGACACTGAAAGATAAGTGGAGGTCCTGCGTCTAAGGGTTAGTTAGAGAGTTGTTGGCTCCAGTAGAGGATATATTCCTTAGTACCGCCTGGTGTCCATTCCCTCAGCTTCTGAAACATCATCCTGACTGTGTTTTAGGGGAGCGAGCCCTCCCTTTTCTGAGTCCACCAAAGCCGAGCACAATGGCGTATTCCAGCCCCATGACCCCAAAGACTGGTTCCGGGATCTGTTACGGCAACCAGTGAGAATTGTGGCCTGATTTCTACGGCCCTCCAGAAAACCGAAATGCAGTACCAGGAGGAAGGTGTAATGGCAGCATCTTTGCATTTTTAACAACTGATCTTGAACCTTCTACCGTCAGAGAAGATCAGGAAGTTCTGAATCTTTTTACACACACACACAGGCAAATGTATATTAGTAAGCGTATATATATATATATATATATACATATCTCTGTCAGTCAATGTGAGTAAAGAAAGAAATGTATATATTTGTATACATGAGGCTGAACTTTATAGAAACAAATGTAATGTATATATAGAGAAATAGACATACATACTGCATAACTACAATCTTCCAGAAGGAAACATATATCAACACACACACACTCACTAATAAAATCTACAGTAAATGTACACTTGAGTATTCTTTCAAGGTATCTTTCTTAAAATCTGTGTGTAAACAGAATTTTTGTAAATCAAATCACTTTGTAAGTATTTTGTTAATTAAAGGATATCAATTTATAAAGTAAAATTTATTTTTTAAAAATGGGGACTATCACTCCTTAATTTATCTTTTTGGTAAATTGGTATTATTGAGTAGTCAATTTTATTAAAATAGGCGTATATCAACACAGAGAATGGTTTATTCTGACTGCTGCAAATAGGATATCCTATTCTTAAAAATATATACAAGGAAAAAGTAGTTTCGTTACTTTTGATTGAGGATGAGTTCTAAATGACAACTGTCTAACATTTAAATTATTTCACCTCCTTCTTCACTTAAGGTTGGGAGAAAAACTTTGTTTTTAAGAGATTTTTGTAGGAACTCTTTTAAAAATATTTGAAATTTCTACCTTGAAAGATTATCAATTCGGAGTCCATATTTCGTCTCTGTGTCTTTCCTCCCCACCTTAATTCTGAATTCTTTATCTACCAGCAGGACGGAGGCAATAGCACCGCTGTCTGGCTTCATATACAATAAAAAGGAATCTTTCACTATCAACCACCTGTAAGAAGATAATAATTATTTTTAAAGGTGTATTGAATTACTGAAACAAAAAGAACAAATTAAGACAAGTCTGAGGTAAACACTCTTAGCAGGTGATAGACATAATTTTATTTTTTACAGGGGAGATTTATTTTTTAAAAATCACTATGAAACAAACAAATAAAAATCCAAAATCTTTCTATTATGTTTTTCTAAGAAGTACTGGCACCAAGCAATTCAAAATAACTCAAATACTAACGGCAAAGCCTGGAAGAACGTCCCTGGTATCGGCAGGTAGCACTTGTGGGAGGTAGAGAAGGCCCCCCAGCTGGTGGAAGAATGGAATGAGCTGCTGTTTGCTAAAATAAACTCTCATAAAAGAGGCAAGTAAGTCTTTCAGTAAGTAAAATCCCCCCTTAAAAAATCCAGGAAGCATCTAACAAGCCACATCATCTGTTGTTCATTTCAAATTATGTGTGGTTTTAAGGACCATTAATAAATGGCACTCAATGGGATATGGCCTCTCAAAAGGATATTTCCATTCAATTCAATCTATATTTATAAGCTTCCTAATGGAAAAGTACAGTGATAAGCGAGGACTTAGGGCAGAGCTGGAAATAGCACAAAGATAAATCACACATCTTCTCAAAGGAGCTCACTAGGCTGGTGGGGCACAAACAATGACTCTAGGTTGAATGGGATAGGTACTAGAAGGGAAAAGCAAAGAGTGATGGGTGGAAGGAGGAAGGAGTCCTTAGCTCTGACTAAGAGAACGAGCTAGTGACAGTCTCCCGGAGAGGTGGTGTCTGGCGAGGCCAGGAAGGATCCCATCAAGCGGAACCTCGTACTTGGGAGGTCAAGGTGCACATCCCACGGGGAGGGAAGAGTCAGCAGAGGCCCTACGGTGTGGAAATGCTGCATGTGTTGGGAGAAAGGTTAGTGAGGCCAGGTCTCAGGGACTGTAGTTAGGCAAAACGGGCAAAGGCCACATCGAGGAGGGTCTGAAGGCCATGCACAGGACGCTGAGTTTCTATCACAGAACCAGTATTTCTCAAACTTGCCTGATCATCAGAATCTCTTGAAATGCTTCTTAAAAATAATAGACTCCTAGGCCCCACCACGGATTCATTAAAAAGGGCTGAAAATCTGTGTTTTTAACAAAAAAACAAAGTTGTTTACTAATTAAGGGAATCCTCGTGCCCTGGTAAGGTAATAGAAGGATAATATCATTGGAACAATGTTTTAGAAACAAACGTAGGAAGGAGAAAGGGGGATGTTGTGTGGCAGGTTAGCAGGCTACTGCAATAATATAGAACAGCTCTTCTCACACTTTACTGTGAACATGCATCATCTGGGATCCTGTTAAAATGCGGACTCTGCATTTCTAACAAGCTCACGGGCCATGCTCACGCTAGGACCACACTTTGAGCAGAAAGGATGTCGATGTTAGGCATGACATTGACAGTGGGAACACAAAGGGGGAAAGGATGGGATCAACTTAAAGTGAATACAAATGCCAGCTCTGTGATGCTGCATCTAACACCACATATTCAGATTCACCTGCGACTGTGTAGTGATGAAATGCATGAGCTGATAACTGAATACAGTAACAATGGGCATCTTCCATCACATATTAGATAAAATGAAGCACTTGATTGGATAGGTAAGGCCAGAACACCTGAACATAAGTTAAGTAATACTGTAAATGTAACATAAGAAGTCAGCATTTAAAAGAAATCCATAATAAATCTGTACTGAAATTGCTAGCCGCATTATGTTTTAGTGGCTTTATAATTTGGGATTTAATGTAGACAAATCCACATTGATTTCTACACAGTTCCATTTCATTCATTTGTTTTTCAAAATATAGGCTGTCTCCTTCCCAGTAAAAGGGAATGGGATGGATTTAGGATAAGTTACAGGAAAGGACATACATGTGATATAGTTAATAAAGGGAAAACATCCAGGTCACAGAAAGCAAACACTGAACCGCCACACTAATATAACTATGGTGCTGGTATGCCAATGTGAGTCTGAGTTCCTGGTTTTTCTTATCAAATGAATAAATTAAAGAAATAAAGAGGTCTCCCCCCAAAAAAAACTAAATTCCAAAGGAAATTTCTCATTTAGGACCTAACATAAGGCAACTGAACGATATAATGGATAACAGTCTCAATAATTTTCAGCAAATGCAGAAATCACACATTTTATAAGAATTCTCCTAACACTGCTTAAGATAAATGCCAAGGCCACGACATCAAATGGTAACTCAGTGATTCTGATGCGGCTGAGTTTTGAGTCCAGACATGTAGCTGCCTGTTGATAAAACTCAGGCTAAAGGCTAAAAGAGATCAGATGGATGAGATATCTGCTAAAGGTCCTTCTTTAGCTGCAGTCCCTTCTCCCAGCTTGGCTTTTGATGCAAGCTAGAGAGCCGACGGCGTGGCACGGGCCCAGAGCACTATGTGTGCTATGTTCCTGACTGGGAAGGAGGCATAGGTTTTTAAAACCACAGCTGGCAGGTTTACCAATCTGAGAATAAAGTCAAACATAGCAGACTTGTGAACTTGACTGCCTAGAAGTCAAGGATACCTGAATGGTGTCAGAGCCAGCGCTGGCCAGAGCTCCATACCAGAGACAACAGTGTGGGATGACAATGGGATGACCCCTACCCAGGTGTACCAGCTCCCATCATTGCCATTACAAAGCAAATCTCAGCGAGGCTCCTGAGAGCACAGCTCGTTGCATAACCACCAGGGCCAAGGGCTGCAAAACATGTCCTCAGGAAGAGGCCACCAGGCACCAATGTGCACATGTGCCCTGCACCAGGACACCTGCTGAAGGAGGGCTGCACCATCGTCAGGAATTGGCACTTTCTCTCATTCACAGAGAGATTCCAAATAGGCCCTAAACAGCCTTGTTCAGCAATGAAATGATATGGCTGGGTGTGTTGCACGGTCAGGGCACTGCTCAACTCTGGGGGTGCCATTCACGTGGCATCCTAATGAATGGTTCTCCCCTGCCCCTCCGAGATGTGGCAGCCTGGAAATTCAGAATTGTTTAGTAGTGACAGTTGGATTTTGAAAGCTGAATGCAAAAGATAATGGTTTCTGTTTTGACAATGATGAGTTGTTCTCTCTAATAGTCATTAGATAGGGTAAATTGATTCTTGGCCTTTATTTAAAGCTCCTCTTAATTATGCCATTCATTAGAACTCTTCTGATTTCTTCCTTTCTCTCTTTTGTCAATAGTTTTTTTTTCTTTAACAGGAGGATATGTATCAAGAAAGGAATCCAATGCATCAACCAGCCTTCCGGGAGTCGGCACCAGCTACACAGGAATTAAGCATCTGCCTTCAAGTCAGCTCCCTGGGCTCCAATCCAGCTCTGCTACTTGCCCCACTGTGTGAATCTGGGCAACTGAGCCTGAGGGCTAAATCTAGACAATGAGGGTAAAAGCAATGCCCAGCTCAGAAGAGTTTGTGAGGATTAACTGAGATGATTCATGTACATGTCTTAGCACGGTGCCTGGCACCAATAAATAGGAGCTGTTATGAATATTCTTGTTCTAAACAAGGTGAGACTACGGTCTGTTCTAACGAGATGCTTCCAGCACATGAGCCCACATGAGCTGGCCATCACATTCTCAGCCTCATCTCCTACTGTTATCTCCCATCACCTTGGCCTGGCTGTGCCTCAGTCTTGCCAAACTTGTTCTTTGGGCCTCTATGTTTCCTATTCCTCTGCCTACTAATTGTTTTTTCCAAATCCTCCTATGGGTGGTCCCTTCCTGTCAGTCAACATTCTGCTTAAACGTCCCTCCCCAGAGAGGTCCTCCCTGGCTACCAGATCTAAAAAAGCTGTCCCCACACCCCTCACCCTCCACTCCATCATGTTTAGTTTCTTCATAGCATTTATCACTGGCTAGAAGTATTTTTTTGCTTGCTTGTCGTCTGTCTCCTTCACTAGAAAGTAAGACCCATGAGAGCAGGGAGTGTGTCTGTCATGTCCACTGGCATCTTCCTAGAGCCTGGAATAATCTGTAGCAGCCCAGAGCAAGCTAACAGGCAAAGCAACCCTCTCTCCTAAATGATGGTACACGATGGGTCCCAGAGAGTAAGTGAAATCATTTAGGCATCGTCACTGTCTACCAATTTAAATTCTTGGTATAGCTTGTCAAAATTGCCTTTAGCGAAGCTATTTTAAAGTGGAGTTGGAGGCCTTTCCAGAGAAACTGCTTTGCTGTCTTGAACCTCGGACTGGGCCAAAACAGCAACTGTTTTACAAGCAATTGTTTGAGAAGTCAGCAGGAGAACAGACACCACGAAGACTGAGGATCATAGACTTTCTGAAGATAGAATCAATAGTCAATCAATGTTTAGCCAAGACTAGCTCTCTGCCTGCAACTCCAATTAAAATTCTTTGTAATACAACCTCTCTTCTTTGCCTTTAAAAGCCCCGACATTTACTCCCTAGGGGGGCAATATTTGGGTTCCCACCTGAATCTGTGGCCCCGAAATAGCAATTTTTTGATCCCAAATAAACACTTTGCCTCTTAAACTGGTTTCTGTTTTTGTACGTTGACATATGGTGCCAGAAAGCGGGACATGGAGCGATCTCACCTTTGCAGACCAGCATCCCCTGGAAACGGGTTTCATACCCTGTGTGTGCTCATCCACTTCCATGGACAACTCACTCCTCTGATCATGGGACCTTTCAGGCTTGAACCTCCCTCCCTTTTGGTGAGGTCTTTGCCTTTCTTTGGGATTCTGGGGCAATAGCCCAATCTGGGGTCAAGTGACCAGGAGACGAGTGTCTCTTAGCCGGCTCACAGCTATCGCCATCTGGAAAGGTTTCTCTGTTTAAGTTGGCTACAGTTGTTGCCATTTGAGGTTGTGTTCCCTATCTGGTGAGTACTCAAATCCTGTCTTTTGTATTGTTTGTCCAAACAGCTGTTTGGGCCAGTGGGCCAGAAGCACAGGGAATAACCTGGGGCTTGCAACTGGCACCTCTTTGTCTG